TGAAGGGGATGTATCTGGATCGCATTGTTCATCAAATTACCATGCGAATGCGATTTGAATATGCGCTAATACGGCTATTTAGAATGTGAATAGCGATCTTCGGGTGACAACGGTACTGCACGCCCCCGATGCAGGTAAAACAAAGTAAGGTGACATGGTTTACTTTTTTACCGATTTAACCTAATTAAAAAAACTTTAATACTTCTGACAATGGGCGTTTTGAAAAGAAGACAGATTACAGATTTAGTCAGCGTTTTTTTCATGTTTCTATAATAAGATTTCAGCGAGTTATGAACTGAAATACACGAGAAAGATACTCGGCATCGCCAACGATGCCGTCGACTCCAGATGGTTAATATCCCCTAGGGGTTGTATGAGTGGATTCTCCTCCCATTCGGCCTCACAAACGCCCCGGCGGCATTTCAGCAGTTCATGGAAAGCATCTTGGAGAGGGTTGAGTGTTTCTCTCTGTACTTGGATGATGTACTTTGATTCTCCAAAACATTCATTGACCTTGTAGCTGACTTGAGACGAGTGCTGGGACGTTTAAGGGAGCATGGGGTGACGCTACGCCCACAAAAGTGTGAGCTCTTCAAGCGTTAGATCAGATACATTGGCTGCCTCATGTCCAGTGAGGGCATTCATGTCAATCCAAAGGACCTGGAGGCAGTGGTACGGCTGGAAGAGCACAGGCCGAAGGATGTTGGAAGTTTGCTGGGATTCTTAGGGTACTGTAGATCTTTCATACAGGACTTTTCAAGAATAGCTCAGCCATCGTTCAGACTTCAGGAAGGACATGGAGGGTCAGACAACAGAACAGCTGCTTATGACTTCAGTGGTCTCAAGAAGAAAGGTGCTAAGAGTGGGCAGTTGCCATCGAGGACACCAGTGCAATAGACTGATGAACACAGTGCCAGTCTGTCACGTTTAGTGGACATGTTGACCAACCCATCCATACAAGCTTACCCAGATTTTGATCAGCCCTTCACATTGCATACGGATGCTTCTAAGGAAGGGCTGGGGGCAGTACTCTATCAACAGCAGGGAGGGAAGCTCAGCGTGATCGCTTATGTGTCCCGGGCACTCACACCTGCTGGAAAAAATTACCATCTGCATGCGGGAAAATTAGAGTTTTTGGCGCTCAAGTGGGCGATCTGTGAGAAGTTTCGGGACTATCTTTATTATGCACCTGAATTCACTGTCTACACAGACAATAACCCACTGACCCATGTCTTTGACACAGCCGAGTTAAACGCCGTCGGGCATCGCTGGGTGGGTGATTTGGCCGAATTTCACTTCAACATAAAGTACAGACCAGAAAGAACAAACGCTGACGCTGACACCCTGTCTAGGCACCCCATTCCATTGCTGGAGGACTTGGAAGATTTCACCGAAACCCTACCGCAAGAAGTAGTGTCCGCCACCTGGACAGGAGACCAAGTGGGCAAGGACAGGGATGTGCCCTGGACAGCAGCGCTGCACTCATTTCCTAGTAACGTGGAAAATAACATGTCTCTCAGGGGTGTGCCTGTGATCAGCGCGGAGGACATTCAAGCTGCCCAAAGAAAAGACCGACCCGTCAGTGAAGTCATGACGCTGATGGGGAAGGGTTGGAATCAAAGTGGGAAAGAAAAGCAACAGTTGGGGCGAGAAGCACAGAGGTTAGTCAGAGAATGGAGCAGACTTTGTCTGCAGAAGCAGATTCTGTACAGGAAGGTGGGATCACGAAAACAACTCGTTCCCCCCAGTACACTTAAGCTAACAGTACTGAAACACTTACACGATGGTATGGGACATGTGGGAATGGATAAAGTTATTCAGTTGGTGAGAGAACGTTTTTTTTGGCCGTTCATGCAGAGGGAGATCGAGGACTACGTCACTCGTCAGTGCCCATGTATTAAGCAGAAGCGACCGACCGTCCCTCAAAAAGCACCGATGGGTTCCATCGCGACCAGTGCTCCGTTTGAATTAGTCTCAGTGGACTATCTCCATTTGGAACCAAGTAAAGGAGGTTGCGAGTACATACTGGTGCTAGTGGATCACGTTACGTGATTTGCCCAATGTTACTGAAACGTACTTTACCAAGGCTTGCTTTACAAATTACTACTTATTGTTGCATTACTACAGAAAGGTTTTGGGTTATAACTTCAAATTTTTTTTCTCCTCCTTTGTCCCCTTAGGGGCTCCGTAGAATACAGAAAAGTATGAAAAAACAAAAAATATGTCCTCCAGTTTCTTGTAATAATGTAACTAGCAATCCGCTTGAGTTTCCCACGTCAGCAAACAGGGTTCCCCACTAGACAGTTGAAGAGACGTGAACTTAGAAGGGCAGCTGTAATGTGTGATCTATCGATGTCGTTGTATGTATGTACAAAATGAAAGGTGTACATATAAATATTGAGAGTTGATTTTGGTGAAAATCATTATATTTTTAGATGTATTATAACCATGTTACACTTGCTAAAAAGTGAACTTCCCCCTCAGCACCTGCAGTGAGTCCCAGCTGCAGCAGTGCAGTCACTGTGCAGTCTGATTGAAGGAGGTTTTTGTACGGCTCTGTATCACTGTGTGAACACAGCTTTACTACTGATGATATGAGCACTCTGACAGTAATAATCTCCTGCATCTTCAGCCTGGACTCCACTGATGGTCAGAGTGAAGTCAGAACTAGATCCGCTGCCTCTGAATCGAGACGGAATCCCAGAGTTAAGGGTATTTGCATAATAGATCAAGAGTTTAGGAGCTTCTCCAGGTTTCTGTTGGTACCAGGCCATTTCAGCATAAGAGCTCCCTGCGTTATACACTGGGCTGCTGGTTTTACAGTTCATAGTGACTGTCTGTCCTGAGGAAGCTGATATCATCTCTGGAGTCTGAGTTACAGTCACTTGCCCTCTGGATTCTGCAAATAAAAACAAAATAAGAACATGTTCAAATCTGAATTAATATACAAAATTGCCACACTAAGAATGTACAGATATCTAAATATCTAGAAAAATTCGCAACTCATTACACAATATGCTGCAAAGTACTCAAGCTTGTTCTGTTTTACCTTCAGTGAGGATGAAGAGCAAGATGCTGAGGCTGATCAAAGTCATGTTTGTTTGGAGTCTGTTGTGATGAAGGGCAGCTGTCAGTCATGAAGTGTTAAACCTCCTGGAATATAAACCCTCCCAGGGCACTGAGGCATGAGCTGAAAATGCAAAGTATCTTCTGACGGACATGATAATCACAGGGGAAATATATGACCTTTCTTGTTCAAAATGAACAGAACTGTGTTTATATTCAGATTTTATACATTTTTAAAGGTATTGATAAGTATAGGATCATATCCTCACAACAGTGTCATGATGGCAACACTGTGTGTGTGTTAAAATGATGATGAGTTGGTTTATCAGATAGAATGAAATCTTTATTTATCTCTGCTGTATTCAGGAATAAAACCAGAAGATAATACAAGGAGACACAAAAACTAATCAAACATAAGTAAAGATATTCACTCATGGATCATGCAAAGCACATTATTTCCTCTATGTATTAGTAAATCTGAAGCATGTAGCACAGCACAGTAAAAACACAGTAATCAGCCGCTCATCACAGGTGATGCTGATCTCATCTACTCTGAACAGTCGGCCCTCTTCAACGTTTGAGTGACAGGAGCCTGAGCCTGACAGTTTCCCAAGAGGGATTAATAAAGTGATGTTTATTATTATCATCTCTCTCTTGCTACAGATCTATCTCAAATCTTTGTTTTCTGGCTAAAGTGATGGAAAGAGTTGTAGCTACGCAACTGCATCTGGCTTCCGTAAACAGCACAGCACTGAGACAGCTCTTCTGTGTGTTGTGAATGATCTCCTCTGGTCTGCCAAAAGTGGTTATCTCAGTATTCTCATCCTCTTTGACTTAAACGCAGCATTTGACACAGTAAACCATGATGTACTCATTGGTATCACAGACATAGTCCTTCAGTGGTTCAGGTCATATCTTACTAACAGATAACAGTTTATCACACACAAGTCCTCCACCTCTCCTGTTGTGAATGGTGTCCCTCAGAGATCAGTTCTCACCCCCCCCCCCTTCCTTATTTACATCCTGCCCATTGGTTAAATCATTTGTAGATGTGGCCTTCACTTTCAGTGCTATGCAGATAATATTCAGTTATATGTCAGTACACACTCCTCTATTGACTCCCCTCCCAATACACTCACTGATTGCATCTCCAATTTAAAACTTTGGATGCAGGAAAATTTTCTCAGACTCAACAAAGACGAAAATGAAGTCTTACTCATCGGTTCAAAATCATTAGTATCTAAATCCTCCAGTCTAAATCCTGCTTCAGTCTAGTATCAAATTCAAAATATTGCTTCTCACTTATAAAGTTTTGCATAACCTTGCTCCTTACTACCTCAGTGAACTCTTGACTCCCTACTCACCCTCTCACTCTCTCAGATCCTCTAATAATAAAATCCTTGCCGTTCCACACACCAGACTTTCCACCCTGGGCGGTTGTTCCTTCAGTGCCACGGCCCCCAAACTTTGGAACTCCCTTCTGCAATCACTCCGTGACTGTTCTTCTTTCTCTTCCTAAGAAATCTGAATTAAAGATATTTTTTTTTCCTTGAACATTTCTCTTCCGTCTCATCCTCCTGTAATGATTACCGTTTTTTTTGTGTGTGTGTGTGTGTGTGCGTGTGTGTGTAAAGTAGTGTTTGGATTGTGAAAGGTGCTATAGAAATGGAACCTCCCAGGTTTAATGTTGCTAATATTGTGCTCCAAGAATTCCTGTAGTTACTGATAAATACCATAAGCACTGTAAATACCATTGACCCTATCTTAACAGTTTGTTGGTTACTGACTCGTTTTGGATTGAGAAAATTAATGAAAAAATGTATCTTGAGGTTCAATAGGTACAGCTTTACATAAGTCTTACTTAATTCTGTTATGTATGAGTATACAGTATATATACAGTATATATATATATATATATATATATATATATATATATATGTGTGTGTGTGTGTGTGTGTGTGTGTGTGTTTCTTCCAAAGAAAAATGGTGAAACTAAAAAGACCAGAACAAGCACTATGCCAACGGAAGCCATGATCTCTTATAGATGTGAAGTATAAAGCATTATACACATCTTTGGCACACTGAAACATATGATCCCAAAGAGAAGTATCATCCTACACAAGCATCCATGGCTCAGTGGAGCAAGAAACTATGTGGCCTCATTAACAGAACGTTTAGCATGATGTAACGGGCAGTGTCCTAATTCTCAGAAGGAAGCGGTCACATTTTCTCAACACTTATACAACAACCAGAGGATATCACTTCCCTTATAGTAATAATGTCCAATGACTATAATGCATACCATTGACTATCAAAACCAAAATGGTGGTTTACAATTGTCCAATAATCTAAAGGCAATGCTGAGTACATCATAAGTAATGTCATTATTATAATTTTGTCAGTTTGGGGAATGTACATAGAACTGTGTTTCATGGCCTTAACAGAAACATTTATTCAGCGTTGCTCATAACCAGGTGTAACGTGACCATGCAGGTAAATAGATCATTGCTGCCATCTAGTGGCTCAAAATTGCATTATTCTAACAGGAAGTAGTTATTGCTTAAGGAAGTTCAGTTTTGCCCTGAACATTTTTGTGCAGATAGAAAATGTGGCTGTTTATCTGCTGCAATCCCTTCATATAATCCTACATTTCTGCATTATCTGCAAGTAAAAAAAAATGCTTTTTGTATTGTTCTACTACGATTTGTTGTAGATTGATGCAAAATGTAAAGTTAGTTATTATAAGTTAGGCCTATTATTGTACATTAATGATACATACCTATCCTAAAGCATCTCCATTCTGCATAATAGTTTAGTTATTAATATATCTAATTTTTTGAATTGCCAGTTTCACAGTTTTCCCTATAGGATCTGTGTTGATTTGAGTTGGGCCTGTGCTTCCAGTCTGCGTCAACCATGTTAGTCTATGCAAGTATTAAACTGTTCAAGTAATAAAGGGCTTTAGACCATCTGCCAAACCTGCACCCCTAACAATCATAGAAAGTTAAGGTCCATCTAATTTAACTGTCTATATTGGTGCTGGTTAAGCCCCTCGCAGGAACTGGCCATATACATTTTTTTGTATTTGGCTTGTTTTTTGCGGTTGGCACTGATTGGTTGGCACTGTTGCCTCACACCTCTGGGACCTGGTTTCAGGTCTCCACCATGGCCCCCTGTGTGAGGAGTTGGCATGTTCTCCCCGTGTCATCGTGGGGTTTTCTCCAGTTTCCCTCAACAATTCTAAACCATTCTGAGGTTGATTGGAATTACCAAATTGCCTGTATGAGTGAATGGTGTGTGAGTGTATGGTGTGTGAGTGAATGGTGTGTGAGTGTATGGTGTGTGAGTGAATGGTGTGTGAGTGAATGGTGTGTGAGTGAATGGTGTGTGAGTGTATGGTGTGTGAGTGAATGATGTGTGAGTGAATGGTGTGTGAGTGTGTGGTGTGTGAGTGAATGGTGTGTGAGTGAATGGTGTGTGAGTGAATGGTGTGTGAGTGTATGGTGTGTGAGTGAATGGTGTGTGAGTGACTGGTGTGTGAGTGAATGGTGTGTGAGTATATGGTGTGTGAGTGAATGGTGTGTGAGTGTATGGTGTGTGAGTGACTGGTGTGTGAGTGAATGGTGTGTGAGTGTATGGTGTGTGAGTGTATGAGTGAATGGTGTGTGAGTGTA